AGTCTACCACAAACTGTTTGCAAATACTCGAAGCTCACATACCACTCTGTTACCAAATAACCACATGTCCGTCTCATAACCTGGCACACACTCCCAACCCGTTCCCCGCGCGGGCCGACCCTCGCCACAGGTCACGCTGCGCTGATCTCGCCCGGCCCCACCCATGATCACGCTGCACGTATCTAAGTGACGGTTGGGTTTCATCCAATCAGGGGCCTGCTCCGGATGTTCCGGACCAACTCGCGGGGCAAGGCAGCGCCGGGCGCCGGTTAACTCAACCCCACAAAATCACAACAGCGACATCCAACGCTATACTATGGTTTTGATTTGTCTCCTATGGCGTTTACGCAGCGGCTCATATTCGAAGCGCACTTTGGCTTTGGAAAGCGGAGCATTACGTAGTCAATATTAACTCATTAGTTCGAACTTCAACCAATGCTCTTCCCGGTAAATGGCCCTTGTCACCCGCTGTGCCAATCGCAATCGTCTATCTGTACTGACCCGTCATTCATGCCCGTAGAGGTGCCATTTTTAAGCCCGCGTGCCCACATCGTGTGGGTTAAAACAGCTCAGAAGTGGTATCTCTGACGCGTAACAGATGACAACGGCCCTTGGCAGATTCTGCCGTCATCATGACCATGCGGCAGTGGCCGTCGCGACGACGCGCACAACTGCAGTTGTTGCGTACTCGGGATACACTCATAGGAAAGGAAGAAGTGTAGTGCCGCTGCAAAGCGTTGACGGCGTAAAGTGCACTCTAAGGTAACTGGAATTTATTTCCTTATCTTACTTTGGTGGTGCTGCGGTGGCATTACCTATTGCTATTATCAGTCTAAAATGGCCGTGAGGTTGCACTAGAGGATATTTTTAAGATATGCCCCAAAAGTGGGACGCTCCATTTAAAACAAGTGTAGGGCGCGCGTATTTCTTGGCCGCGCACGCGTATTCCACAAGTCAGCTGACTGCCACCGCTGTCGTCAGCTGGCGTCAATGGCGCGCTCAGGAGGCATCGACGGAGGCGTCGTCAGGGTGGGAGATAGACAATGGGTGATCTAAAGCGGCCATGTTTTTACATTTGTAATCTCCAGTCCCTTCCACCCCAGGGCCACTTTGTGCCACTTCTACTGGTGCAAGCGCATTTGCTGGCCGCCAGATCGCATTCAGTTTTAAGTCATGAAGAGCTAGGTTAATTATCATGTTTCTCCTGACCAGTCGAATTGTTGTCCGCCGCCATCACCTGCCCAGCCTGTTCATCGATCGACGGCATGCGGTGGCCCCCACAGTCTTAGTTTAGGCCAGGCTCGTTACCAAGGATGATAATTTCACTTCTATTTTACATTGCGTGTCGACACGCGGAGTTTTGCGCACGTCCTTCGCTCAGACAAACGCTATCCGTGACACATTCGCGAAGAAACATTGTCGAATGAGCACTTGCGTGCGATCTTTGTCGACAAACACATTTGCGGGGACGTACATTTGCGTTGCGTTCATTTACCTGACGAACATTCTACCATGCGAACCTTATCCTACACGAACATTTGCGTCACGAACTTGGGCGCTACAAACTTTATGTCCCAGCAAACCGTTTGTTTTTTTTCCTGCCGAACTTTACGAAACGAACGTAAGTGTCCGTGGTCCGGCAGGCCCGAATTCCTAAAATGCTGTACTGATCTGTGGTGTGGTGTCACTTCCACGGGATTTCCGACGAAAATAGTATTCAGCTAGGCAGGCTGGAAATGCTTGTCACGTGGAACTGTTCGACAGTCTATCGCAAAGAACAACATACAACACACGTTTATCAGCGAACTACCCCATCGCAGCCCAGCGGTCTTCTGCACTTTCCACATGGTGACTGTTACTTCAATGAACTCGATCGCAATTTCCATTGCCTCAGTTCCGAGCACCGAACCACAGCCGCCCTCCACGCACACGCAACCCGGTCCACATCTCGGCAGGTAATGTATTTTCAAACCTGGCGCGCATCCAACTTTGCCTCGCGTGTCAGTGCTACCAAAGAAAGTGGCAGCATTCACCACGGAGACAACCAAAATTCCCTGCGCGGTGAACAACTGCTCAAAGCAACGCCGCTTTTACAACAGCGACACTTTGTGTCAATTCTGAAGTGCCGATTCAGCTTGCGTTACCCTGCTTTCTGTTATGAACTTCCCAAAAATCCAGCCTATTAAGCACATTAAATGATTTGTCAGGAAGCTAGCACCGCATCAATTCTCATTTCGCGTGGTTTTGGGCAACCAGGAAAATGTAAAACAAAAAATATGGTGGTGAACGCCAACCTCCAGCATACAAACCAATATCAATTCAAGCCAGAGAAAAGCTGTAACGCCGAACTGTTGAACAGTGTATCACAGATGACAGACCCCAACAGGCATTGACTTAGCCGACTGAACACATGGCTTCTAACGCCAACTAAATGTTGATGCACCAGAATCGTCTGGAATACACCTGAATGCTGCATATACTGTGGCAACAATACCTGCGTTTGTTGTTCGCTCTTACGTTGATTTGAGTGCACCTCTACTGCGCCCACAATCACCCTTCAGTTCGTCAAGCTGTAAGGCTTAATACATTTCCACGTCGCCTCCCATTATCTCCTCCACTGTCTCGGGCAGCGGCTTCCCCATTGTCTCCGGTAGTAGCAGGCTCAACAGCGACGATGATGCGATCAGCACTTCGAAAATGAAAAAAAAAGATCATCTTACCTCAATGCATTCTGTGAACGGGTAAGAGAAATATTACTATAATGCACGGGATCTCAAAGGAAATGTTCCACATCTTAAGCTATTGACTTAAGCATCACGTTTGATGAAGTAAGCTCCCTTAGAATTATTGATATACTTTTAAAATAACAAGACCATTTTGGACAACAAATATATGTTTAGAGGATGCACCCCATAATACATCATTGTTCGACGCGCCATTGAAGGTTTGTATCACGTTGAGGTGCTACCAAACTAGCCGTGCAAAATTGTCACCTTAATACGCGCTCGGGTGGGGCGTCAAATTGACCACCCGGAGGTTTTTCCGGAATGGTTTCCGAACGGCGTGGCGTAGCCACGCCAAATTTTGCGCAGCTGTAGACAATTAAATGGCAAATCGTTTAACATCACCAATTTAGCTGTACCTTGTAAGATCCTTGACCTATGGCAGGTCAAAGTCAGGCCACGGTTTTAGCGAAGGCAATTTCTAGGAAATCGTTCAATCTGATACAACAACGGAGTGTTTGACGAAGCCAGGCATCTCTGAGATGCTTTCTTAGGCACCACAAATATTGAATGAACAAATTAAGTTGACCTAAGGTCACGTATGAAGGTCAGACCAAGGTCAAAACCAACCTGATTTGTTTCTTTTAGGCTTGCTGTATGGAATAGTTTCTGGTGCTTACTTCGAATTTATTAACGGCAGGAACCGCATTATGCATCTTCCATTGACTTCTTAGAGGTGTGAACAGGTCATTGACCTAAGGTGACCCGGGTCAACATTTTGTTTTAGGAACATACGGCCTAGCGTAATCTTTGTTGCCTATTCAACTGCAAAGCTCAGAGCAGTCTTGTATGATTTTGGTCACCATGCCCTTTAAAAGGTCAAAAATGTCACTGACCTGAAATGGCCTTGTGACCTTTTGCTTAGAAACAGTTGCCTAGATTCTGAGGGCACTTTGGAGACCAAGCTGGAATTTGACCTTGCTTGACCTTATTTGACCTGAAGATCATGACCTAAGAAGCTCAAATTTTGAGCTAAGTGAGTTTGCGCACAGGTCAAGACAACCCATAAATTTGGTGTTTCTTGCTTTCTTAGTTACCGAGATCTCAGGGGGTTCAAATTGACCCCCACCCGAGCGAAGGGTGTCTAGCCGGCCACCCGGGCGCGTGTTAACACTCCCGTGTAGTACTTCAAACCCGCCGGGAAATGGCAGTGGCGGGGTTGCAGGTGCTCGCTGAGCTTAACATCGTCATGTGCTCTCATTCTGACCCTCCCTCGTGGTGGTCTCGCAAGATTATCCGAGAGTTTAAGGTGTGTACTTGCATTCACATACGCGGTTATGGTGCTGTTCTTAAGTAATTCAATTGCAAGCCCTTTTTCCCAAATAACTCGCAGTCATGTCAAAATCATTACGTCATGTAGCACAAAACGTGATTCAAGATTAATTTTTTTAACACCTTGCTCAACACTGATTGAGAGCTAAATGGCGTTCCCCATATAGTTCGGAAGTCGTGCTCACGGACGCCAGATCCGAGTGGCTCGATGTGGATATTCTTCCTGGCCTTGAACGCCGCATGGTCTATGGGGCGGCAAGATTTGAATAGCATTGCTGTAGCGTCACGCGTGCCTGAATACCTTCAGATTGTCTGCTCGACATTGTCTGCACGAAATACTCTGCACATCATCAAGGCCGTATAGCTTGGAATTACATGAACTTAGGTGTTAAGAAGGGCATGGCTGGGCCCTGTACTGGATGATCTTCAAAAGTGTTGTTTCGGTTCAAAACGCAATACAATTGTAGAATACTCCTTTAGTAATGAGCCCCAGCAAAATGGGTTTACAATTTTACGATTTCCAAACTGAAAGAAAATGGTTTCTTCAAAGATAGTTTCAAAGAAACAGTTGGGCAACATACAAAAAAGCAGTTTGGACACTTATTGCCTAGACTTGCTGTGTTGTAAAACCGCGACATACATTGCCGCTCCACTACAAACTATGCATAAATGTCGCAGCATGAATAGCAAGTGAGTGGGGAAAAACAGATATGCGATTCGATATGATTTTTGAGACGAGTGTCTTCTGTGGGCCCAGTCCATTCAGGAGTGGCATGCATAGCGATGGGACGGCGTATGACAGAAACCACCTTCGTCGAGTTCCGAAGACCACCGGTGAAGAAATGGAAAAGAAACGGTGCGTCGGTCTCAAGAGGTCACGATGGAGATGCCGGGTGCAATTTTGATATCCAGCGCTTCCATTGCGCATGTTTTTCACCAGCTCACCGGCAACACCTTCCCAAGTCGGTGCACCTGAGCTGCCCTCATCGCGAAAGGCGCGATGGCTCTTTTTCCGCGTGGACCGTTTACGGCAACAACAAATGTTTGTACAAGTGTCACCCACACACGAAGCATGGTCGCTGCAGTGGTATCGCACACTGCACCGGTCGTTTGCGAAGTAAACGGTGATACTACGTCTACACTCACTCCTGATACACTTGTCCGCACCACCAGGCGGACGTGGCATGTAGGCGTGTCATGCTGTGTAGAAAGGCGGCGGCTGCAAGCGCACTTTCCGCGACCAACTCCCTCCTCTGAGTAACCCATAGCCGCAGAAAGCCACTGTGGCAAAAAAAAGCCGCAAGTGGCAAAGCCAAAAACATAAGGGGCAAAAGCAATGGCCTTGGCCAATGGCCAATAGCTGGCCTCTGTTCAATGGCCTTGAGCTGGCCTAATAACTCCTTTGTATTTGGATGTCACACTAAGAGACTTGTATATTTGTCACTGGCATAGTAAGTTCTATCTGTGGGCTAAATTTCATTGTAATTGGTGAGTAGATCAAATGCGACTTCCGATTCTTAGGGAGGATTTAACATTGGAGAAAACGCATATTCTCCACCAAGAAATCCGAGCGCAATATATGATGAAAATGCATAAAAAGAGCATTAAACATAGGTATTAAATTTTTGGTATCGGTCTACCGAGCGTCACCACAGCACCGCGGTCCGTGTATACAGCTAAAGCGGGGTTTCTTGTTCTCCGGTAAGCAAAACTTTTGGTTTTGTATTTATGTCATTATTTACGTTTTTGAGATCTACCTTCTATTTGAGCCGGGCTTTGCAGATAATTATTTTCTACAAAATCATCAAGTTCTAAAAAAGCAGTAGCAAACCGGTAAATAACTCACAGTGGCTCTGTCGTTGAAGGCTGCTATTTCGTGTGCGCCATTTATGTAGCTTTCCAACCTTTTTTGGGGTAGTCGCACGCGGAGCCGTGATGGGTGGGGGTGGTTGGTAGGGCACTGGTTGGTGGCATACATCAAGGCAGTATTTAAATTCAGCTCAGTATCAAACACTGAGAAAAGTATTTTGTTAGGCTCAGCGCCGGTGAGTAGATGTAGCGATGCCAACTTTGTACGGCATCGCTACATATGAGGAGGAAATAATTCCTCCGCCTCTGCTACATTGGCCTCCGGACACCGATCACGCGGGAGGTTGACGTCCCAGGTGGTGTAGTTTTGTTCATAACTTTGTGGAGCGGGTGAGCAGAGCAATCTTTTGTCTCAAATGATTGATGCAAACCATGTTCTCCCCGAAGGTCGGAGGGAGGGGGGGGGGGAGTGGTGCCTAGCATCCCATTCAGTTAAATAGGAAACTGCACAGTTCCAAATTAAGTGTATCTAGGTTAGTAAAAGCCTATGTGGGGGTCACATTGCCCCAGGATCTTTCCCTTAGCTGAGAAAGATGTTGCCTTGGCTAGAGTGTAGCTGCACTAAGTACTATGCCCCAGATGCTCCCATTTATATGGGGGATTGCATGGCACTTCAATCATAAGCTTATCATGACATGCTCTGGAGACTGGTGTAACAAGGGCACAACATTTTAAGTGTCAGTGTCTATCAGCCTTTATTGGAACTAGCCCTTATAATAGAGCATCAATATTAACAACTTTTGATCAGTTTCATAGCTTCAAAAAATAATGGAGGCATGAGTGCAGACTTAGTGATGAAGGACTTACTTAGCAAGCTAGAAAATTAACAAATTGCAAGCAGCCAAGCTCTAGTCATCTTTGGCAACCACAGACCAAGTAAGGCATGGTGTTAACTGTCATCTGCTGCCAACAATGTTGTTTAGTGTCATCTGAGGTTGCAGTGAAAATTTGTGTGGGTTATTTTCTTCTCGCTTCAAGCTGTGATGAAAAATTTGACTATCCCAAGAGCCAAAACCAAATTTCAGATACTGTATGACACCATATCAATGGCATGCAAATTCTTCCACCACATAGGCCATGCAGCACTCAAGGCAGAGAAGAGCGTTATCTGTAGCCATTCAGATGTGGCCAAGCATGATTTCTGAATAAGGTGGACATCAGTTAGCTCTCAAGCAATGTTGAGCAAGATTTGAAAGTTTCATTTGCTGGCCATGTTTTTTGCTACATAATACAAGAAGTTGGTGTGGCTCTGAGTTGTCATGAAAATAATTATTGACATCAAATAGCTCAAGAATATTACCATACAGGTTATGTGAATACAATTAGAAAATTAACTCATTGATATATATGCAAGAGCACCATGAAAAAGAGCCAAAACACAAGCACATAAAATGTTTAGCAGTGAATCATATCCTCTGCCATCTCTTGGCTAGTTGGAGTATCACAAGGGAGGGCTAGGATGGCAACTTTGCACAGCAGTTTTAGAGTACCTCATTGTCGTATGATTGTTCTCTGATGCAATCGTTTTGATGAGCATATCCACTAAATATAGGAAGTATGTTGTCTAGAGCAGTTTTTCTCTCCAAAAAGCTTACCAATAGTAACAAGTGAGCTTATTTCATCACATCTGTTGCTTGCTTCAATATCTCCAAATGTATAATGCTTCCCTAAATGTTTCTTCCTCTTATAGGCTGCCTCAGATATACAATAAGCTATGGACATGCCAGTGCATGAGGATCAAGCTGGCCAACAAGTGGAATCAGTTACTTCCACTCTTCCTACTGAGCAGCTGATGAAAGCCTCCAGCAGCATGACAGATCCTCCTAGCCCACTGCCTGTCGTGGTCACAGCTGACCTAGGCAAGGAAACAGAGAGCACCACTCTCCCCACCGAGCGACTGGAAAACCAGCACGGAAGCCAGAGCGAGCCATGCGGGCCGCTGCCGACTCCAGCACCAGGTGCGGCCGACTGCAAGCCAGAGCCGGGCGCGGCCGAGCCGGAGCCAGAGCCGGGGCAGGAGCCGGAGCTGGAGCCGGAGCCGGCCCCGACGCCGGCGCCGGAGGAGCTGCCGACCATGCTGCCGACCGGTCAGCTCGGTCAGCTGGCCGAGCCGGACCAGTCGTGTTTCGTATGCGGCCAGCGCTGGCAGCGCAGCCTGCGCTTCCGGCTGCAGCGTGACGTGTTCATGTTCGCGCTGCCGACGCGGCCGACGCCGCGGCGCGACTGGCTGCTCTCGCTGCACTGGAGCCGCTCCTCGGCACCCCCCGCCGACGCGCAGCTCTGCTCGCTCCACTTCGCGCCCAGTGACTGCCGGCCGGTGCTGGGCCGGCCGGGCACCGCCCAGCTGCTGCCCGTGGCTCTGCCACGAAGGTACGAACGCCCGGCTGACACGCGGCGGGGTGCCTGGGGCCGCCCGGGGGTCGGGGACGGGCGCCAGGTACCAACCAGAGTCGACTTGCACCGCTTGAGGACCGGAGAGGGTCGAATGGAACTGACCAGGAATGGGGAAGTTTTTCGTTGCAGTTTTAGCGTGCAGGAGTGATGTGGCGTGCAAGTTTTGTACGTCAGAGTTCTGTGGTGAAGCCGGTTTGTCCGCAGAACTTTTGTTCCGTCGGAATTTTGCCCGTTGACATTTTTATCTGTGGAAATGATGTATGGAAGTGTTGCTCACAACAGTTTTCTGGTGTAATAGTACTGTCTCTTACAAGTATTGTCCGTGGAGTCTTTGCCGCTCAGGCGTTGTTTTGTGTGTAGAAGTTCCGTCTTTGAAGGTGTGCCGCTCAGCACCCTCGTCGTGGCAATTAAGCTGGCAAGAGTTTTGGTGGTAGGAAATGTGACGTGACGCCAACCGGTGTAATGTGTGAGATGAGAACGTCAGGCGGCGAACGTTCGCTGTATCGATGGTTGGACATTACCGCTGCTCCCGTAGATCGTTGACGTCATTCATGGACGTGTCTGCGCTTTAGGATAGGTTGCTACAAACGGTGTGCCGTTTTTTAGTGGTGTTTATAGAAGAAATCATCGCTGGTGGCCCGCAGGCCCAGGGTTTTCTTCGATGCAAACGACCGCTGTAACTTACCACAACTGACCAAGATGGCTTGCTATCTTGATGTTTTCAGGCAGGCGCCTGGCTGACATCAGCGCCGGGAAAAGGGACGGTAGAGTTGAGACCATAGATGGTCTGCCACGGGTATCGACCCGTGGCCTGGTTTTGACCGGGCCCTGACCTGGCCGTGTCCCGTTGTGGTCGCAGGCGCTACTTCGACGGTCCTGAGTCGGACTGCTGGCGGCCGTGCTCGTACCCGCTGTGTCGCGGCCAGCGGCGCCGGCTGCTGGCCGCGCTGGCCGCCGTGCAGGAGCGGGCCAGCGCGCCGCTGCGCCGCGCCGCCCGGCCCTACTGGTCGCGCCGGCGCTTCCCGCTGCCCGAGCCCGGGCCCGTCAACCAGGCTTGGGTCGACCTCTTCACGGAGGCGCTCAACGACCGGCCCAACGTGCCTGATGAGGTCGAGCTGTGAGTGTTCGGGCCAGTGGACGTGGGCGGTCCTCGCTGTGCGGCGTCACGTGAGGAGTGGGGGGGGGGGGGGGGGATGCGACAGACACGGTCGGGAGAGGAGTACCTGCTGCGCGACGAGCGAGACACTGCACCGATTGTTAAACCTGGGGCGTCTTCCGTCATACCGCGTCGTCGGCTGCCTGAGAAGTCGTCTTCTATGACGCACGCCGCTGACCCGTCGTCGCCGTGCCGTCCAGGTCGTACCTGTGCTGCCTGCACTTCGCGCCCAAGTGGTTCCGCTGGGAGAACCGCGGCCGGCCGCGCCAGACGCCCGAGCCGCTCGGCCAGCCCAAGCTGGACAAGTACGCCGAGCCGACCATCTTCTCGTGAGTGGCCTGGTCGTCTGGGCGGCACGCTCAGAGCGCCGCCCCGCTCCAGAGTGTAGCTGCCAGCAGGCGTGGCTGGTCCTCTCGCCGTACCGGACGCTGCTCGAGGGCGGACACTACGCTCCTACCCACGTGCGTTCTACCTCAACAAGAGCACCCGCGAGACTCAATGCTCAGCTTATAGGGTGGTGTACAGTACACATCAGGACATCGAGCCAACTCGCTACGATGCGCGAGTACCGTCGAGCTGCTGAGCGACAGGGAGCTGTTGTCACTTATATGCATGTGATTGGAAGTCATTGAAAGGCATCAGATGTCTGGCGCTGTGTCGATAGGTAGTAGCCGGGCAGGGTGGATGGTCACAGCCGGAGTAGGAGGGACAGTTGACGAAGCTGTAAGTACGGTGCTCACCTGACCTGGTGTCGTCTGTGGCCGGTCCGCTGCTGACCTGACCTGACCTGACCTGGTGCCTGGCCAGGACGTCGGCGCTGATCGCCGGCCTGAAGCTGGCGCTGGAGAAGGACCTGACACTGCAGGCAGATCTGCCTGACGAGGAGACGGAGCCGGCTGACGGCGAGCACCATCCGTCCACCAAGCAGGGGTACGCGCCGTACCCCCCCCCCTCCCCCCACCCCACCCGCACCCGTCATTCATGACCCGGACAGCCGTTGGCAGTCTGAAACCGGGGCTCCTGGGTTTGATATGGTGTGGCTGACGATATGGTAGCGGACGGAGATGTGTTGTGAGCAACTGCACCGTCTTCCGATGAGTGTGCTTGTGATCATCCGTGAGATATATATTTGCGGGTCTGTATGCCGCCGTACGCTGCAGGCAGCTGCGGATCTGACCTGTCGCCAGCTGTGGAGATGACCGGCGCTGTGCGGGCGGTGGGCGGTGTGGCAGCAGCACGCCGGCTGTGCCGCTGACGCCCGGTCCGCCGGCAGGCCGGAGGAGCCGCGCTGCGACTACCCGTACTGCTCGCCCGGCGACAGCGGGGTGCTCTTCACGCTGCCGTCGGCCGAGCGTGAGCCCGAGCGGCGCGAGCTCTGGCTGCGCTCGCTGCGCGCCGTCGTCGCCGCGCTCGGAGACACGGCCGGCTTCGACCCGGATACCTGGTATGGAGGAGGGGGGGGGGGGGGTGGGGGGGGATGGACGAGCCAGCGAGAACAAGTCCTGACCCGGATACCTGGTACGGAGGAGGAGGACGGGGTGAGGGGGAGGGAGGGGGGGGGGGGCGAGCCAGCGAGAACAAGTCTGACCCGGATACCTGGTATGGAGGAGGAGGGGGGTGGAGGGGGGGGGGGGATGAGCCAGCGAGGACGGGTCCGACCCGGGCACCTGGTTCGAGGCCTGGTCCAGGGCTCAGCCCACACACGGCTCGACGCAAACGGGTCCAAGTACAGGGACAGACGACACGCTGCTCCCCTGAGAGGGACGGCCGCTGATGTGTCACGCGTCTAGTGCCGACGAACGGGTGTTGACTGCTCTCGGCAGCGCGATCGGTGGATGGAGCAATGTTGGCCTGGTCGGACGGTTGCCCCGGTGACGCGCTGCCGACTGCGGCGCGCCCGCTGCAGACGTGTGAAGAACCCGGCGGATCGAGACTTACCGGCTGTCATGGCAGTTAGGGCTGAGGGCGCGGGGGACGCTGACAGGAGGTGCCGGACATGACGCTGACTGCAGTGTGGCACTCCTCAGCTCGCTGCTGTGCTCCAACCACTTCAGCGAGGAGAGCATCACCCGGACGGAGGTGGACGGCGAGACGGTCATCACGCTGGACGACAAGGCGGTGCCGGTGCGCTTCCGGAGGTCAGTGGCGCCGCCGTCCGGCCCGGTCTCGTACTCGGCCCGCCAGAGGCGCGCGCGCGCTCTCGGCCGAGGGGCGCTCCGGCGGCAGGGCGGCGTGCGTCGCCGGTGCAGGACGGCTGAGGAGCCGCCCCACCCCAGTGCGGCCCGCGGCTGGGGCGCCAGGACGCTGCGTCGTCGGATCTCCCGGTCTTGACCTGATCCCAGTGTGTTCCGCACAAACGCAGCGTTATGAACCAGCCGGGGTATCCACGCCAGTCGGATAGTGTGTCCGCTGGATGGCTGGAGACGGACGATCATCACGGCCCGGGAGTTCTGTCAATATGGGGCGCGTGTGGAGAACGGTGTGCAAAACCTCGGGGGGGGGGGGGGGGGGGGGGCCTATGGCTTCCTTTGATGATAACCGTTTACGGTTCGTGCTGACCCGACCGGCCGTGTTGTTCCCAGCACGTTGATTGATGCTCACTTTGCTGCGTGTCCCCGGCGTGATCGGGAGCAACAGAGGTGTGCCGCATTCGTGTGACACAGCTCCACCGGCCAGTCTCCGTTGTCTGTGGTGGCCGGTGCTCTGCCTCTCTTGTGTGCCCGTCCTCACGGCTGCGTACGGTGTCCGCTGCTGTTTGGCCCGGCTGTGGAGAGTGCCCGCTGCTGTGTGACCCGGCTATGGCCGGTGCCCGCTGCTGTGCGACCCGGCTGTGGACAGTGTCAGCTACTGTGTTACCCCGCTGTGGACAATGTCCGCTACTATGTGACCTCGCTGCTGTGTGACCCGGCCGTGGACAGTGTCCGCTACTGTGTTACCCCCGCCGTGGACAGTGTCAGCTACTATGTGACCCCGCTGTGGACAGTGTCAGCTATTTTGTTACCCCCGCCGTGGACAGTGTCCGCTACTGTATGACCGCGCTGTGGACTGTGTCCGCCACTGTGTTAACCAGCTGTGGACTGTGTCCGCTGCTCTGTGACCCGGCCGTGGACAGCTGTGTCCCGCTGCTGTCGGTGTCCGTTGTTGTCGTAATGCTGTCGTGCGTGCGGCAGGCCGGCACCGGGCTCGGCCCTGCCGCCGGCCAAGCGCCGCGCCGCCCGCCCCTGCCCCTGGTGGTGAGCTGGCCGGACGAGTTGGGCCGTCTGGTGGAGGATGCCGCACTCCCTGCTGGGCACCGAGCAGGAGTCGAGCGAGGAGGAGCGCGACCCCGACCCGGAGCCGCAGCCGCCACCCGGGTCAGTACGACGCCCGCCCGCTTGTCAGCCGGTCTGGTCCGGTGGCGCCATCGAGTGTGGTCCGGTGGCGCCATCGAGTGCGGTCCGGTGGCGCCATTGAGTGTTATCTCCGCTGTGTTCTTGGGAGCCTGTGTGTGCGAACATCCGCCGGCGTGGCGTCCGTGTGTGACCGGTGCCCTGCCGATGGTGGCTGATATCTCGTCCGTCTCGTCTGCCGTGCTGGGCGTGCATGCCTCCCAAGGTTTTGTGTCGGGTTGGAGGTGGGGAAAACACTCGGGTGGCTGCCCGTCCTGGTCCGCGCCGACCCAGCCTCGACCGGCCGTCTCTGTCGGCAGCGGCGACGGCGTGCCCGAGGTGGAGCTGCACATCAAGATGGAGCCGGTGCAGGAGACGCCGTCGCCGCGGCGGCGCGGCCGCGGCCGTCCGCGCGGCCCGCGCCCGGGGTCGCGGCCGCGGTTGGCCGCTGGCGCCGCCGCCGCCGCCGCCAGCCGCCGGGCCCGCCGCGCCGCCGGTGCGTCGCCCCAGTCGGCCGGCCGCCGTCGGCTGCCACCGCCGCTCAGCGCCAACTGACGCACCTGGTGCGGGCTGCCGGCGCCGGACATTTCGGCGCGTTCCGGGCGCTGGATGAGCTGCTGGGCGTGGAACGAGCGCGTGCGCACAGCAGCGCCGACCAGCTGCTGCGGCTGTGCCTGATGACGCGACTGAAGGAGGGCGCGTACCACCGGCTGCGCGAAGTCCCGGACGAGTCTTAGGGAAGGCGCGTACCACCGGCTGCGCGAAGTCCCGGACGAGTCTTAGGGAAGGCGCGTACCACCGGCTGCGCGCCGTCCCGGAGAAGACTTAGGGAGGGCACGTGCCACCGGCTGCGCGACGTCTCGGACGAGGCTTAGGGAGAGCGCGCACCACCGACTGCGCGACTTCCCGGACGAGGCTTAGGGAAGGCGCGTACCACCGGCTGCACGCCGTCCCGGAGAAGGCTTAGGGAGGGCACGTGCCACCGACTGCGCGACGTCCCGGACGAGGCCCAGTGGCAGCCGGATGCTTAGGGGCACAGCGCGGCCTGCTGCGCTGCGTGGTTGGGCTGCGGCGCCTCTCCTGCAGTGGCAGGCGTGCTGTGACGCCTCAGCTCAAGGAGAGAGACGCCGACACGCAACTCCGGTGGTGACGTCATTCCATTCGTACACTTTGTGAAATGCTAGGCATTTGGTACAAAAATGCCGAGCATAGAAATTTTCGTATGATTTATGCTGTCCACCTGTGCGCATTTCATGGTCATCATCACCAATACAGTGCTGTTTAGCTCACACGTATTTCCTCCAGCCCCACGGCCGAGGTGCCCTCCTGTCGGCTGTTCCAAGGAAAATCCAAGGTGGCAGGACGAAGGCGGGCCCGACCACAGAAAGAGGCCGCCACTCGTGCATCCTGGAGAAACGCCGAGTGTAAACACGGCCGTGACTCGCACCCCTGTGTGGCCTGACTCCGCGCTGAGGTAATCGCTGTGACTCGAGCGGACGGCGGCGCCACACTGCTGGCGGGCTCGCGCGAAGTCTGCGGCGCGAGGTGACTGGTATTTGGGAATAACCACGCGTGTGGTGACGTTAACGAATGAACACTCCTCCCTCACATCACGATTGGCTGGGATCAGATGGCATTTTGCACCGACCTGGTACGCGGGTACGGCTGTCGTTAAGCCCCAGTACGATTCGGGCGGGCGGTCAGCGTGGTAACGGGGGAATACAGTGCCAGAGGACCTCGCCTCAGACTTTCTGAGAGGTCTGTTTTGCCAGCGTGGGCGTCGCTCGTTTCCGCGCCGATGACTGTACATGACGAAGACTCTATGCTGGGGAACCGTGAGTCCGTATTCTGAATATATCCCGCCTTCAGTATACCAGGAAATGCTGATTAACGAAGATTCAAGCAGCCTGAAGGATGTATTAGGAGGACACTAGTCGTTTCAAGGCGGTTCTCATGATCAAGAGCCTTGCTGCAAGTAATGCCTTAAGACGTGAGTATTCTCATGTCACTATCCGACTGATTGTGTAAGGTTTTGTTTAACCAAAATATCTTGCTTTTCTTAAGGATGGCTGTTTTCCTTCGCTACCGAAAAACCAATAGCCCAGTGACTTTCTTTCGTATAGTAAATAAAACTGATGGCGTTGTGTTGTGACGGGGATGCGCGAAGGAAGCGCTTAAGATGGGGTGGGGGACATTTACGGACCGCTAATTTTCCAACAGTGCTCACGTCTGTTGCCAGGTCCATCCGTTTGAGGCATGACCTGCAACAGAGCCGTTTTCGAGGCATTTGATGACATGTATCAGACGTGTTGTGAATAAGTTTGTCGCCGGTTTGGTAAAGGCTTTACCACAGTTTGCACACATAGGCGTCTGCTATATCAAAAATCGGACGCAGCTAGTGATTGGTTGCCATGAGGTTCCCAGAGCTTCCCGATTCCTGCGGCAAAAGATACAGATTAGCCCTGGTGAATGCCACCGAACAAGTTAATTTTTTAGCGTACAGCCATTTTTAAAGGCAATGTTCGCCATTCAATTTCATCCCAAGGGTCCGACTGTGCGAGGTGTACGGAGATGTGCGCTGAGCCACAGAACACCACACAGAATTTCCGGGGTTTTGAAGAAAAGAGATTGCCCATGCATCGGAGAACACTGGATGCGGGGCCAAAAACATGCGTGACCTAGAACAGGCCTCTCCAACTGGGAGGATTTCCCAAGAGGAAAACAGGGAAATCATGAGCGGCAACGTGATCAAACTAAGCCATGATTGAGTCAGGGAAGATAGCCCTCCAGGCAGCATCAACTGGTAGGCACAGACTGGACGGGGACGTTGCGAAACGCACTGCGCATGCGCTACACACACTGATGATAACACCTGCTAAAGCGGCTCACAAACAGGGACAGTGAGTTCGCTAAAAGTGCTGTGAACGGAGCGGAACGCTCAGGGATTAGCCCTGAAATATCACCTGTGATATCCGATAACGCTTCCTGTCTGTATTGCTTCTGTGATGCTGTTAGCCGTTTATGTGTTCTCTCCGCAGTAAAAGGTAGGAAAACGCATGAATTATGCTCGTCGAACTGTTTCTTTTCATCTGCTCCAACCTTGGTGAGCTAGAATTCTCTCGCCGCTATGAAGCTTGGCGATGTTTTCGCCAGATGGTGCGAAAATTCATCAGATTTTGTCCGCGCTGTCTGGCGAAGAATATTGCTAGTCTGCAAAGGGATCAGAGAATTGTGGCCCATCAAAGCTGGGAAAACTGAAGAAACCGACTTACACACACACACATATCTATGTTTGCAGCTTGAAAACCCGTGACATAAACATGCCTTATGTAAATTTAATTCTCCTGTTTGGTTTGAGATGAACAACAACTTGATCCATTTTCAGGAGGAAGTGGGTGCTGAAAAGGGATAATCTAGGGGCAAGAGCCCGAGCCAGATTCCTGATCACGTGACCCCGCCCGTCGGTGACGTCAGTTCCGGAAGAGCGAGCCTCAGCAGTCAGCTGGCGGCGGTCCATGCCACCGTGTCTCCGTCCTGGCGTCCGCGCTCTCTCCCGCCGCTCTCCTGGCGCCGACGCCCGCATGCGGCTCAGGAAATGCCGCCAGCACGCAGCCCGCCGGCCCGGCGGGCAGCGAGGGGTCGCCGGCAGAGCGGCGCCGGCTGACGGTCGGGCCGGGTCTGATGGACGGGTCTGGGTCTGATGCTGGACCAGGCTGGGGTCTGATGCCGGACCAGGGTCTGATGCTGGACCGGACCGGGGTCAGATGGCTGGGCTGGAGCCGGAGGTCTGATGGCCAGGCCAGGGTCTTGATCCTGGGCCGAGCTGGCGTCTGGCGGCTGAGCCGGGGCCGGGGTTCTGCCGACCAGATCTGGGTCTGATGCCGGGCCAGGGTCTGATGCTGGACCGGACCGGGGTCTGATGCTGGGCTGGACCGAGGTCTGTACGGCCAGGCCAGGGACTGGTCCTGGGCCGAGCTGGCGTCTGGCGGCTGAGCCGGGCCGGGTTCTGCCGACCAGATCTGGGTCTGATGCTGGGCCAGGCCGCGGTCTGATGCCGGGCCAGAGACTGCCGGCTCCGGCTCCGGCCATCTGGGGCGAAAGGGCAGTGGCCAGCTCTCCGCCCCTCCGAGCTTGCCGGGACTTGCCGTCCGAGCACTACCCATACGTCGGTGATAGCCCGGGGTTGCCTGAAAGCTGCCCGGTCTGCCGGGACTGGCCAGTGGGAA